TATTTGGCTACGCCAAATCCGTCCGTTAAATTGTAACTCAATGAATTGCGACTCGCGCTGCGATGATACGGAACGATACGGCGGGATAAATGTTATCCGGCGATGACTGTTGCGCGCGACGCGACGAGAATTTACGAGCGAATTTTTCCGCGTGATTTCACCTTGCGTATGTATCGCGTCACGGAGCGATCGGACGAAGCGACAGAGTCGCTTTATACGTTGCAAAACTGATTTTTCAGCGCATCATCGATCATCGAGATGAAAACGGCCGCGGGATAGAGGGACAAGATCGAAGTACAATAAGCAGCGGATGGCAGCTTCGAACACCGAAATTCAATTTGCTGACAAAGTCTTCAAACCGGACGCAGCGAGAAATGTTCAAATACATGAGTTAGAAATATATCAATCGATAACGAAACTTTATCAGTTTGATCTGCTTCGTCTGTTTTTCCTCCATAATGTTCAATACTTTGATATTTTGATAATTAAGCCTCGAATTACTCAAACATAAAGTTTTGTTGAACAACGCCGAGTTAAAGTAAGTTGCCGTTATCTCTACTTCCATCCTTCATACTTAATTCGCGAAACACTGCTCGCTCGATCGCTCATGAAACGGAAGATTAATGATAACTCCAGCATTACGCACTTATAATGGAGTCGAGGTCTTTGCCTAGAAAATAAAAGACAGGTGGAAAGAGAGAGAGAGAGAGAGAGACCGCACACGCGAAGTTACCTAAGCACGCGGATTACGCGTAAAGAGACGGATTACGTGGTTTACAGGTATAAGAGCGATGTTGTTTATACTCGACAGCCGGTTCACTCCATTCACTGCCGCGCTCCACATAACCGTCGCCCCACGCAGTTGTCCGTTTTCGTGATTTAATGCATGTTACGACGACGTGGGCAGGTGCAACGAGACGAGAGGGAAAGAGAGAGAGAGAGAGATGCACGGCCACGCCGAGGGAAATACCGCGGCGGCGGTTCTCGCGTCCGTCAGTCTCAACGGAATTCGCAATCGCCGGATGATTTTTCTCTTGTTCGCATGCCTTCGACGCCCCTCGAGCCGCGCTCGCGCGCTACTCTTCATTCCCGTTACGGTATTTACAGGAAGTGCCGTCCGTCGCGGAATGCACGCATCACTGGAAAGCTTTGTGGCGTCCCTCCTCCCGTCAGCGGCGCGGCCGCTCGTATAGCGTGCATTCGTAATGGCGAAAGTTAAATCTCCTCCGCAGGTGAATCTCGACAGACATCGACGATGGAACGAGCTTCTCGGTGGCGTTCGCGAGACACGGGAGGAGGGAAATGGCAACTCTTAAAAGATTTAAGAGTTACGAAGGAGTCGGCATTCAAATGCGTACTGCACATCTCGTCGTTGAACATGATGATTTAAACTGAAGATTATTTAACTTGAAGATTAATCTATTTTTAGATTATATTTTTAGGAGAGGAGGAGCTCATTTTGTTCGATGTTATTCGAGTTATTTCGAAGCAGAATGTACACGCTACCAGATCCGAGCCTCGACATTATGACAATGCAGACTCATGTTGGCACAACGTTTCCGCGAGATTTTACGTCAATTTGCGAGAGCTGTTATCACATCCCCCCCACAATTCCGAGTTGGAAGAGGATTAGAATTAGGGGACTCTGTTCCTCTTTTCGCGACGATAAACGGCGTTTCGTTTCTTTCCATCGGTACAATTGGCCACCCTTGGCCTTAACCTTCTCGTCAATTCGCCGGCAATATATACCTCACGAGGCATCATGCAATTACGTGAGGCGTCAGTGATTACAGAGCCCGAACGTCGTTCAGCCAATAAAACAACGTCCCAACGTCGCATCGCCGCGACCTTTTTAATCATGCGTTTATGCGGCACGGTGGTACTGCGGTTCGGTATGTTAACGCAGGGGAGTTTTTAGTACGAGGCTCCTCTTTGATTAGGAAAATCACACGTTCCCAGGTAATAATTCCGCAACGGTATTTTAACGGTACAGCATCGGTAAACCCATACAACGTAACATGTAACGAAAGTAGCTGGGAATTATTTATGCACGTTATCGCGATGCGCGCGCGAATCTGCAATTCCATTATCAGCCCGTTTGATAAGACCGTTTGAGTTTATCGTATCTCTCGAGTGATATAAGCGTTTTTATTATACCATGATTTCGATGTTTTATAAACGTTTTACGGCGCCGTAGAGCCTCCGCTGCAGGTCGTTTTTCTCGCCTTCGCGCTCGACCATAAAGTCATTGATTCCAGTCTCGTCGGGAATTCTATTGTAAGTTTCAGAGGATATATCGCAAAGCAAACATCATTCAGCTTCAGATTAGATTTCGCTCCCCCCCGGTTTGCCGTTTGATAAAAAAAAAATAAAAACTTGATGAAAACAACTAGCGAGTTTTAATTCGAGTAATCGTCCGATAATGTAGAATTAGTATGTTCAAACGGAACCTGCACTTTGTGTGTCCCTTCAGTCTCAAAACACTACTCGCTCAGCGAATCTCAAAGCATATATCTGTTAAAGGTGAAACTGGAAAATAAATCTCTTTTGTTTGTTTCCGTTTGCCTATATTTATGACGATTCCTTTACATTCCGTGTGGAGTCTTTACGATCGTACTTCTCCGGAAATTATACGCTCCACGTTTCCTACTCTTCTATTTCTATATTTACATATTTTCATTTTACCTTTACCTTCTTTTTATGGACCTTAACTCGCGCCATTCGTATTATTTTCATATCGCGAACGTCTTTCGCCTCAAAACACTATTTACGTTAGCCTAATTTACATTTCATATTTTCGTCTTAGAAGGTCCGACGGAAGAGAAAAGAGAGATTTTAATATAAAACGCTTTGAGAAAAGCGCCATCTAAAAAAAGCCCGTCTTTGAGGCCCTCACCTCCGGTGTTTGTTCGTTCGTTAAGAAAATTCATGCCAACGTGAGATCCTCGAGAGCTCAGAGCGCGAGGCACGCGCGGCGCTTAGACGCGTCGCCCATGGCGGAAGCGAGTCTCTTTCTCTCTTTCTCTCACGCGCACACACGTGGGGCACACACGCGGATGCTGACGGTGGAATGCGATATTCGCGGGCGGTGCGGTGCGGCGCGAGCGAGCGCGACGGGTGAGAGTACGGAAAACCTGGAGGTCTGCCAATTTGCGCGACGTCCAAACGACCGTGCCGCGGGAGGGCTTTGCTCCTTCGGGGGTTCCCTGACTTTAGCGTGTCCGCGTTCCGCGTGCTGCATCATCAAACCCCGCCCCGAGGAGTACAAATCGTATTAATCGCGGCGAGCTGGGAAAACACGGTGAGGCGGGACGAGGAGGGGGGGGGGGAGGGGGGCAAATTAGGAATCTCCGGGTGCGACAATCAGAGAGACGCGCGGAATCTCTCCTCGGGGCATTCTCTCGGAAAATCGGCGAACATCTCAACGACCGAAATTATCCTTTCCGATGTTGTTGTTTTCCCCGTATAATTGAAGCTCTCGGAGCTTCGAGATCCATATTCATATTCCCACATTTAGTGTCTTTTATCGCACGCGCGAATCGCGCGCGACGTTATCTGCGTCTGAGAATCCGAACAGCCATAATTAGCGTTAAGTGCACGATGGGAACAGGGGTCCTAAAATTTTCTTCGTAGTGATACAGATCGTCGCCCCGGCGATTATTTCTCGCGATTAAACGCAAACGTAAATCGGCGAGGAGTGCGAAATAGCACATATGTCTGTGGAATTGTGATTATATATATAACGTGGGCTATGACGATAAATTAGCCCGATCGATAAATCTCGCGCGGCGCGTGACACAATCCGTATATATTTACGTACATTTGCATATATTTTTATATACGCATGTATATATATATAAATAACGTATATTTTATCGTAATGCATACGAAGTAAAAAATATATTTTTGTCTTATCTGCAATGTATTTATATACATATATTGCAACGTGGATTCTCGGGAATACGAATGGGGCGCAACGGATCGCAGATAAACGCGATCTCTTCGATTCGATATTGGATTCAGGGATCGGACGGCCGCAAAAGTATTGACCTTCTCCGCGGCGTTTTCCGCATTCCGCGTCGCGTCCTCGCGGTCAGTAACCGCCGACAAAACTTCCGCCACCGGCTTACGGAGGACTTGCTAAACCGTATGGCGCCTTTAAAGTAAAAAAAAAAAAAATTAAAAAAACAAACAAACGAGGGAAAGAGGCTTCTCTGCCCGACGACGACCTGGTGTGTGTGTACACACGTCCGTCCGACCGACCGCGATCCCGCGACGAAATCCAAGCTACGCTTATCTCGGCGTAGAAAACAGATAAACGAGTCGATGCACATCGCGGGTCGGAGTAGAAAGGCTGACCGGTAACTGACCTCTAATCACTATACTCAAGACAGTCGCGTGAAATCCTTGAAAGCAGTCGTGAAAAGGAGCTACATTTATGCACGCCAAACAACAGAATGTAATTACGATAGCGGCTAATTGCCGTTTGTAGAACACGATGTCGTGAGAATGTCCGACCATTCCGCGGCTTGTGCTCCGAAACGCGCGACGACGGCCGCTCTTGTGGTAAATCGACACTGCGCGCGCGTTCCGGCAGACGTCACTCGCCAAAAGGAAGGAGGAAAATAGAGATTATAAATTCCTCAAACCGCGATCAGCGTGTAAGTTTCCCGGATTCACGTGCGATACACGGGCTTTGTACCCAGTAACTCGATTCGTTTTTGCGACTCGAAACAGTGTATGTGTATATGTGTGTATGTGTATGTGTGTGTGTGTGTGTGTGTGTATGTAATCTTTCTCCACCTCGTCCCTCAAATACAAACAATTTCTTGCCTGCCAAAGGCGTGAGATCGCGAGGCGAGGTGGCGAGGGGAGAGAACGGCGGCCGGTTGTGTCAGAGAAATTTCGCAAATCCGCGCAACTCCGACCCGCAGACGGGCCGCGCGGTTTCGTCGCTCGCGCTTTGAGAGACGGAAGACAACGTTCTGGGTTTTACTCACCGAAAGCAATTCCTCAGCACGACGGCGACCGTACGGGGAAAGGGGGGAGCAAGGGGGGAGAGGGACGACACACCGACTCCCGACTTCTGTGGTGGTGTTATCCTTCCTTCGTGGAATCCGGCGAAAACTAACCCCGCGGCCGAGGTACCGCGTTATCCACGTGTGCGGAAACGCAAACGTCGGGCACCCGCGACACTCTTGGCACACGCGGCTCAACACGCGAAACGCGCCGCGCGACCCGCTGACACGTACGACCGCCGCGGCGATTTCACGGCAATGGAATTTTGTCACGTCGCGCGTTTTCTCAGCGAACGGTACCGCAGACGCTCATGTTGCTGCACCACGGACAGTGAATTACCATTCCAGCTCTTCCCTCTCCGCGCGCGCTGGAGGACTCGCAGCGCCGGGGCGTGGTTTAGCGCCGTAGAGATCCGAGTGCCGACGGCTGCGCACGAAGCGCCGGCCGCCGCTCGTCCGCCGGAAACCGCCAGCTCGAATCTTGCATGCGTACGCGGCATTAACCCCCGCGCGCGCGCGGGCGATTTGAATTCAACGTTCGAGCATCGAGATCTGTACTGCTAAACTGCTACGCTGCTTTCCTGCAAATTAAATACCCTGAGAGCTATGAGATAACAAATGTTTACGAAAAAATTATTTCTAATAATGTACGTACTATTGAAAAATATAACTGATAATACATATAAGTAAAACAATTAATAAAATTGTAATTAACTTTACCGACTATCAGTAATTTATCAACGTTGTTTGTAATGACGATCGATAATGCGATACCTTTTACAGTTTTTATTTCGGTAATTTGGAGAACCGCGAAACTTTGAATGACCAAAAATCGATAAAGTATCGGGAAAAAAAATCAGCAAAGAAACGATACTTATGAAATTTCCAAGAATTTTTAAAAGTAAAGTCCAAAATTTTGAACTGAAAATCTAAACTCTCAAATGCAAGATATAATTAGATATGAAGTAATTAATGTCAATTAAGATTCTCCTAAAATATTGTGAAAATTAATTAAGATTCCAATTATTGAACTCTAAAAATTTCTAGAATTTTATTAGATCTGCAAAAATTTAAATTTTCGAAAGTAATCAAACTATCAGAAAAATATAATAATCAAATATAGTCATTATATTGAGTATCTTAATTAACGCAATTATAACGTTAAAAAATATATCCTAAAATTTTATACGTATGGACTTGAGCTGTAAAATTTCGAATTCTGAAAAATCGGCAGAAAGATTATCAGGTGGAAATATGATCAGGAGAGGCGTATGCATTGACTGAAACTATAATATTTAAAAGTTGTTTCTTCATGATAATGCAGATCAGCAGATAACACAAATGCCGGTCATTCAGTGAATGTGCAGTACCGCATAACGGCATTCCATTCTAAAGATGTGTCTGCAACGCGGCGGCCGCCTTATGTCAGTTTATTAATATATACATTTCTCTGTGCGTTAAATGCGATACGGCGTTCACGATGGACATACACCAATTGCATCAAATACCGAATAAAGTACGTAATTATCACTATTTCGGTCGCTTGACAGTACAAAGATAGTACGCGTCATCAAAACATAACCTCCTAATTAAGACTCATACATAATTACATGCTGACTTGCAACAGTTTGACAAGCAATTATCCTAGTTTTGCATATGAGTGCTTTTATTCTTAAAAGATGTACGTCGATCTTTTTATTAAGATAAATTTTCATACTATTTTATATATTGTTATACAATGTTACTCCTAACTGTTCTGTAACTGTAATGCTTTTTTTTTTACTTTCAGAGCGAAGCGGAGCTGACTCCAGAGGAACAATGGAGGCAAGTTGTAAATCTAGCCGTACAACAATCAAATCTCTCGTCTTCTCACAGCCCGATTTGCCAATGTCTCTGCGATTAGCGAGTATATTAATGGAACTTATATTAAACCAATTTTTTAGGTTGCAACACAAAAAGATGCACGAACAGCATCAAGGTCACGAATCTATGCACGCCGAAATGCTTCTTGTGTTGTTGGTGACGTTAACGGTAGCACAGGTTGTACTGGTTGAGTGGAAGAAGAGGCACTTTAAGTCGTACCAGGTGAAATGAAATATTTGCCTCTAAACGCAAATTATATATTAATGCAATATCACTTTTTGCAGCTTGTAACACTAGCAGCCATGTGGATTATTCCGTTTGGAATTAGCTTGAAGAACCACTGGTGGAGATTTATATTTTTATGGCTTTTATCCTCCTGTATAACAGGTCTAGTAGTAAGGAAAGCCATTCAGAAGCCAATAGAAGGTACCACCCCTAGGTAATGCCGAGTAATTATATTGGTGATGCACGTTGGCGGTGATCGTGAAATAATGACAGGGAATTAATTTCTTTGCAGACTAGTGTACAAATGGTTTTATTTTATTTATAAGCTCAGCTACGCGCTGGGTATAATCGGATATATTTTAGTTGTATTTACATTCTTCGGGCTAAATATCATATTGAACGTCAAGCCTCACGTTTGGATGGATTGGGGCATGCTGTTTCTATTTTACGGTCTTTACTTTGGCGTACTAGGAAGGGATGTCGCTGAAATATGTGCCGACACAATGGCGTCACACATTGGGGTACGCATATTCGCAGTGGACGTTAACTAATAAAGCGTTACGCGCGACGATTTTATAACGTTTCATGTCACTTCCAGTATTACACCCCGGACAGTATCCCGACCAGGGTTTTGGAGCCGAATGTTTGCGCAGTGTGCGGGAATAAACTTCTAGTTTCCGAGCACGAGGAAGGTGTGATCGAAAATACGTACAAGCTCACTTGCGAACACGTTTTCCATGAATTTTGCATTAGGGGCTGGTGCATTGTGGGAAAGAAACAAACGTGCCCTTATTGCAAGGAGAAAGTCGACTTAACGAAAATGTTCCGCAATCCGTATCCTTTTGTAACGTAAACAGAAAAATTGCCATTAATGATTTTACGCCTGCATCTGTCTGGTAAATGCCTTAACGAAACGATACAGTTGGCAACGGCCGCACGTTTTATATGGTCAATTGCTGGATTGGTTAAGGTGGCTGGTTGCTTGGCAACCGTTAATTTTATTTCTAGTTCAAGGTATCAATTGGGCTCTGGGCCTTGAGTAAGTAACAATGTTGGTGAAAACCAACTCTCACACCCATCATTTTGTTATTGCAACGCTAAAAAGAATGATTAACTTAGTCATCTGATCGATACTGTGTTTGTATTTTTGTATATGCTGTTATGATTTTTGTTACTCATGAAAGAAAGATATTTTATTAGGTAGGAAATGTAATGCCAGTGAAAATCAATAATCCTACTCGTGTCTGAACGTTAAGAATTAAGGATAATGCTACGAATTTTAATTCTGGGGAATATAGATATATCTCTTTTTTTTACTTTTTATTCCATCGGCTGATGGATTATAGCGCTTTCAATTACCTTCTAGCAAGGTTATATAGATATATCTTTATAGATCACTATAGATATATCTCGGTGAAAGTAAGGTTAGAAGAAATTTTATAATGAGAATGTAAACATTTCTTTAAATGAAGTAAAAAAGAAAAATTTATTATGTGAAATTTTTTTACAATAAAAAACATTAAAGCTCAATCAATGCTAGATGTAATGTAAATATATGTCTAAAAAAGTATGCCACATATATTAAACAAATAAGAATAACTTAATGTAAAGAAATGATGTGAAATATGTGGCGATATTTTTGTATTTTCTCTCTGAAGATTCTTTGTGTGTGTTAAAAACACAATACTTTTTTAAAAACAGTTGAACAATATTCTGTGAAGGACATGAGAAGGATTAAATCATTGTACCATTATCTTCTACATTGCTCTATTTAAACTAATTAGTCTATTTCAACAGTTTTAGCAATTTAAATATCAGGTTATAGTATTAAATTTTTATTCATTTATTTATACTTCTTGCAAATGTGTTCTAATAACTTCCTACTAATAACGAATACATTCCACCATTTCTAAGTCCGTAATGGGTGCTGCTTCCAATATTTGCTTTATCAGAAAATATGCAGTTACAAGAAAGTAAAGAATGCATGTATATATTTCATACATTGTATGATTACTACACAAGGTGTTCATATCATGATATAAATTATGTAAAAAAATATTAGGCCACATCAAGTAGTTGACATGAAATGTACATATTCTATTTTTAAGTTATTAACGTAATAACATTTTCTGATAGTAATCATTTTCAATTATGAGATGCAAATCGAAAAAGTATTTCGATCGACGAAACAAATAAATAATAAATGATAAATTAGAGAAATATTATTCATTATTTTTTTTTAATTTGTGAATAAATGTCAATAATTTCAGCAAATTTCATTGTACAAGCATTCTTCAAAAATTCACCTTTTACCATTAATTTGTGTTTTCTATAATAAAACCTTTATGTGTAATAACATTTTTCTAGTAAATGCTACAAGTTTTGCAGCATTTCAAAAATGGAGATCAAACTATTATAAAACATGCATTTGTAAATCAATTGTTGTAATATAGTTGCACTTAACTCTGTTGCTAGTCGCTCTAATTATTGAGAGATGTTTCTAAAATGTAATATTAATTACTATTTATAATACTCCCTTTTTAAGATCGTTCTAAGAGAGAAGATTATCTGATATATGTTACATTCTCAGCAACCAATAATTGTGACTTTTGGTTCTGTTTCTTTCAACTGGGTAAATGTGTTAGTGAAATCTGTGCATTATATTGTTCGTAATAGTCAACGTAATATGAAACGTAACAGGGAACGTAACATGTATCTCTTCCATCTTGTTTCTACACAGAAAATAGTGTATAATCGACTATTTGTAAAGAATAAAGCCACTGTGAAGAATACATTTTTTTTGCAATAAAATTATGTACAAAAACGATATACTTAGCTGTGGTATTCAATTCCTCTGTATTGCGTTTTTCTGTTGGTCCGATAGTTTTCGTGGAAGGGAAAAAATTCGTTCTTTCTGAATATCCAGGAAAAATCAACCTACACTATATGTAATTATTTAAATTAAATTAATGTGAAATGTGTGCCTCTACTTATTTTAAAACTTTTAAATTATTGTTAACTCTCCCAGGCTAAAATTAATATTTAAAAAGTACTAGACTCAGCAATTTTAGTAATTACTTGTAACAAATTCAAGATACTTCGAGAATGATTGGTAGTACGATTAAGAGATATTTTTCCTTGCAAATTATTAGGTGCTTAGTGAAAGTAATATAAATATTAAAAAGAAGCCACGCTGTTCAGTCATGGCAGAGTTAACGTGTACCTTCGTTTCTCGTAAGCGACGTAGCAATTTTCCCTGAGCACAATCAATATAGCTTACACGTAAGAGCTTTAAGTGAACCTGCGATTATCTTTTTTCTTCTCATAATTTTTACAGAATAACAGATACGACGGAGGATCAGCATGAAAAAACATTGGGTGTAACGGATTAACGTCTACCGCACGCTGTATTGTTAGATAATTTCTCTGCTAGCACCGACAGATAAGTTCCTATTTACACACTCGAAGTCTCTCACTAAGAGGTAGTAGATCTGAGGAAGGATTTGATCTCGCTGGACGCGTATATAGAATTCAAGATAACTGTGTACGTGTGTGCATGTATGTGTGTGGGCATAGTAAGAGAGAAAGAGAGAGAAAGAGAGAGAGACACAATGATAACAACTTGCCAGTGATGTTACTAAAAGACTTTAATTAACTTTCTCGTTATTATCGATAGAAAAACAACTTTCATCACATCACGTATCCATAGGTACTTGTTAGACCATGTCGGACCCGTCGCGAGAGTATTATATATAATTCGTATTTATATTTATATTTATATACATATATATTTGTCTATAAACCTAAAGTCTTTCTGTGGGATGATTACGGGACAGGGCGCGAAGGGGTGGTGATGCGGGAAAAGTGAGATGGGAAATAGAGATAACAGAGGCTAAGGGACGAGAACACACTTAACGACGAATACCCTTCAACGGATCCGATGAACAGAGGTGTTAACGTTACTCGAGACGTAGTCTTTGGCTTGTTGGATGGTTCAGACGCCACGATACGACGGGATCGTCGGGATGGGTCCAGGGGCAGACATTCACAAACACGGGGAAATTTTATAGATATATTTATTGAGTACTTAGCGTGTAAGAGTATAGAATATATGTTACCTTATTGTTAAATATCATTACATGGTAAATATATTTATATATTGCGACCGCACTCACGAGCGTGGTGCAACTTCGTCGCTCGTCCGACCCGCGTAATTCCGCGAAAACGGTAAACGGGAATCTAATGCGTGATTAACTGTAACTCAGGCATCTCGCCTATCGAAAACGGGAATAAAGTTGGGCGCCAGGCACGTTATAGAGA